GCAAATTCACCTACCTGAGCCTCACTGGGGAGGAGGTGGAGCTGTGTCCCAGGGGCAGGCACATCCCTGTGGGGTAAGGAGCAGCCTTCCAGGCAGGGTGTGGCACAGAATATCTCTGGAATCCTTCTCCAAGCCTCGCCAGAGGTGCTTTTGTAGCAAGTTGGAATGATCTGGGAAAGCTTTGCTTGGTGAGAAGTTGGCAGAACTTGGGACCACTGTTTGGCTCTGTAACAGAGGAGCAGCTGGTCCCAGTTGTGAGGGATGGGCAGGTGGGAGGAGAAAGCAGAGGACAGCAGGATTAACTGGGAAGCATCGGAATGCAAAGTGTGTATTGCTAACTCTGGATTATTCCAGATGAGGATCTCTCCGTGTGAAACACGGGGTGGGGCACGAGGGCTCTCCCAGGTGTTCCTCCCTCATCCCAGGTCTCTGGCCCTGCAGGTGGGAGAACAAGGACGTGTACGCGGCTGCCATCCGGAGCCTGCGGATGCGGGAGCTGCAGACCCCGGAGTGCATGACAGCAGTGAGGGCAGGGCTGGGCTCCATCATCCCCCTGCAGCTCCTCACCACACTCACCCCCCTGGAGATGGAGCTGAGGACCTGTGGCCTTCCCTACATCAACCTGGAATTCCTCAAGGTGCTTTGGCCACGCTCCTGTGGGACACAGAGAGAGGGATCCTCCCATGGGAAGGTGGGAGAGGGGAGAATCTTCTGCTTCTGGTACAGCCAGAACATCCTTGGGACACTGCTTGGACACTGCCTTGGCCCCTAGGGAAGTTTATTAAGATTTCACTGGATTCAGGAAATAACAGGGTGGGGCTTGTGCAGAGAGAAGAGTTTGAATTTCCTTTATTTAGAAGTGTAGTGGGGAAGATTGCTGAGGGGAGGTGGCAGAGCAGCAGTGGACACATGTCCCTGTCCCTGCAGGCACACACCATGTACCAGGTGGGACTGATGGAGACCGACCAGCACATCGAGTTCTTCTGGAGCGCCCTGGAGATGTTCACGCAGGAGGAGCTCTGCAAGTTCATCAAGTTTGCCTGTAACCAGGAGAGGATCCCCTTCACCTGCCCCTGCAAGGACGGCGGCCCCGACACCGCCCACGTCCCCCCCTATCCCATGAAAATCGCTCCCCCCGACGGCGCCGCAGGTACGGAACGGCCGCTTCCCGAGGGAAAGGAGCTGGTTCTGCTCCCAGCTCTGTCCCAGCCTCAGCCCCCCTCTCTCTGGGATTTAGTGAACACTGACAAAGAGGGACAGGGGGTTGTGAGGGGAAATAAGGAGAGAATTGGGGTTTAAATGATGTCAGAATGAAATTTCACATAAAACTTGAACTGCACCCAGTGGGAGGCTCCCTGGCCATGGTGGGAGAGTGGAACTGGATGAGCTGTAGGATCCCTTCCAACCCCAACTGTTGTGGGATTCCACAATTAAAACTTAGCCCTGCACAGATGCAGAGGGACTTTTGCTATTTGTCTAAAATGCTTTTAAAATCATTAAACTATTGTAAAAATATTGTCACGATGCCAATATTTCCAATTGAAAAGACCCCCAAGAGGCAGGGATTGGATTTTGGGTCCCCTCAGGAAAGGGAAGCGTTGGGTTGAGTTTTGACCCCTGTCTGTCGCGCAGGTTCCCCGGATTCCCGGTACATCCGAGTGGAGACGTGCATGTTCATGATCAAGCTCCCACAGTATTCCTCGCTGGACATCATGCTGGAAAAGCTCCGTTACGCCATCCACTACCGGGAGGATCCGCTCAGCGGCTGAGCAGGAGCCGGGAACGCCTGGAGGTGACTCCGTGACTCTGCCCAGTGGAACCCCTTCAGTTCCCATCCAGCGTCTCCCGTGGGATGAGCTGGGGGATAATTTATTTCCCGAACCTTCCTTCCTGTTACAGTAATTCCCGGAAGACGACTTCCGTTTTGTATTCGTAGACTTTGTGGTGGACTGGTTCTTTTTGCTGCCTTGTTTGTGGAATATTTGTAGGATAGTTTAGTAAAGACCGGTTTGTGTATAATTTAATTTGGGGAAAAAAAAACAAACCTTTCCACCTGTACATTTCTAATTTTGTAATCCACAGCGGTCTGCCCCGTGCAAACACCGCTGGCAGGGAGGGCATTCCGAGGCCGGGAGCCCTTGGTGGGGGAAGGCTCGTGGATCGCTCTCCCCCAAGAGGTTTTTGAGTACAAAAATGCCAATTTTGGGTGTGGGGAGGGAATCACTGCGTGGGCAGGAGCAGAGCACAGGTGGGATTTGTGGCACTTGCTTGAGATCTGAAGCAGGAATTTTGCTGCCAAACTGCTTTTCCACCTTTCCACCACTTTCCTTGAAATTTTTTTAATCTCTGACCAAGCACACGGGGGCTGCCACAGGGAACTGGGGGGTTCAGCTCAACACTTTTGGGAAAATTTCCAAAAGAACAGTGAAAGGGCTGTGAGTCCATTGGGTTCCTGCCCTAGATGTTCTTGAATGTCTGCTTTGCTTAGCAACAAAATAACTTATTGTAATTAAAACATGAGCAGAACAAAACAGCTTCTCTCCAAAGGGTGTAAGATACCACAGTCCATCCCGAAAATCCGGGACTTTATCCCATTTCCCAGTGAGCTCTCAGAACAACCAGGGGATGCTCAAACACCTGGAACTCGTTTTTTGTACTCAAAAATCTTTGATCCAAGAGCAAATTATCCTAAAAACCTCTGACACCTGGCAGGAGGAGGAAGTCACCCGTTGGAAGATCAAGTTCCTGTTTTGTGTGGAAAGCTGGGAGCTGACTGCGGAGCAGGAACAGCTCCACGTTTCCCTGGTGTTCTGTGGAATGTTCTGGGTGGTTCAGAGCGGCCCCTCCACAGGTGTCTCATCCCTCACCAGGATTTCTGGGACATTCCAGCTTTGCTGATCCCTTGGATCCTGAGTTCTGAGGAAGAGACCATCCCGGTATCGGTCGGTGCTGCCCGGGAGGTGACCGAACCTTCAGCTCGGTGTCCCGTGGAGCAGCTCCCGGGAATCCCAGATGTATTTATTGTACATTATTGTGAATAGTGGGAACGCTGAGTGCGTGGGATGCGGGAGAGGCGGTGTGAGTCTGGGATGGGTGTCCTTGTTCCTGGATGAGCGAGTGGGAATGGGAATGCGTGTGCAGCAGTCGTAGGTAGTCGTCGGCATCCGGAGTCTCCCAACCCCGTGGTTAGGAAGCTGTTACCCTGTGCATATTGCCCTGTCCAGGGAACAGATCCATGTAGGAAGAATATTTACTCTCCAATCTCGTCCATTTCCTGGTAGAAGCGTTTATGTAGCCCAGAAACCACTCGGAGCAAGCGGGAACGCCTGGAGTTTACAAAGACCGAAGGGGCGGCTCGGAGCCGGTTTGTTCCCGTCGGGACGCGCGTTCCCAGACTGGAGACGCGGGCAACGCCGGCTGGATTCCACGGCAGAGCTGTGGCCCCAGCCTGGGCTCTCTCTGGGCTCTCTCTGGGCTCCAGCCCCAGAACTCCGAGGGGCCATCCCGGAGGGCTCCATGTGCCAGCGGTTCCCAAGGCTCCAGTTCCAGCTGTGAGTAAGAAACTGCTGCTACTGTGCGTGCGCTCCTTTGGGAAGCGCATCCGAGTGGAGCACACCTGCACCCGGCCCCGGGCGCGTGCTGGAACTGTTACTTGATCCGTATTTATTACAGTTAATTATTTATGATTACAAATAACGAACTTCTCGTCGCTGCCGTTTGCACCTGGGGGTGTAAATGAAGCTTCTTCTACAGGACAAATGTCGCACCGATAACCAACTTCCATCGACTTTGGTTTGTTCTGGAGAACAGGATGAGCCCCCACAAGAGGAATTGTGGGAGTTTTTTGGGGTTTTTTTGGTTTTTTTTTATTTTAATTCCATGCTCCTGGGAAGGAAGTGCTGCAGCACCTCAGCTGTGGCTCAAATGGCCTTTTAATTAAAGCTTTTCTAATCATCCTTAATTCCTCGTGCTTTAAATGAACTTGACATTGTCTGTACTAGGCTTGTTTGTCGAAGCAAAGATTGGTTTGTGATGATTATTATTATTTTTTTTAATATATATTCATTCAGAATGTAAAATTATACTAAACAATGGAAAAACTCTGGAGCTGGGTATTAGTTCTAGCTTGGTGTGTGTCCATCTCGGTTCCATACACGGCATTAACCTGTAAGTGCTCTTGGCCATCGAGTGTACACCTGCATAAAGGAGATTCTTAACATCCCTGGAGGTGTTTGTGTCCTTCTTTGGGGCTGCAGGGAATGGGATCTGCTGCTGCAGCTGCCTGAGCCAGGGCAGGAGAAGGGGGAGAAAAGGAGCTGCAGCTTCTCTCTTGAAATCTGCGTTGTTTTTGTGTACTTGGAACAAAACGTAAGGATTTTGTACCAAAGGGAAGCTGAGGTTGTTCCTCTGGGATTTCCCTTGTGCCTGAGGCACAGCACAGGCTCTGCCACCTCAGTCATTAATTATTTGTCATATTTAATGATTTGTGACCCATGGCACGCCGTTATCCACCCCAAACCTCAGGGACCAGCTCGCATTCCCTGAGCTTCCCACAGCCCTTCGCCCCAGGAATGGGAAGAACAGAGGTTTGGTGTCCCCGTTTTTAAATACCTTTCTTCTTCTCTTGTCTAAATAAACACATTTGGTGGGAGCATCTGTAAAATGTCTTTATTTTAGGAGGAAGTTCCCTCCAGCCATGGTTGGGCTCTGGCTGTTCCAGTGGGATGGAGCCTGGAATGGCACCTGAGCCAAGGCCTGGGTAACGACCCTGCCCCAGGAGTGGCCGATTTGCCCTGCCAGTGCCATCTGCTGCACCTCCTTAATGAGGCTGATGCTCACAGGGCTACCCAGGACCTGCTCCACTTCCCAAAATCCCAGGGATTCCAACAGTAACAGAAGCCAGGGTAAGGAATAACGGCAGGGAATGGATCCTCCCAAGGGGGGGAGCCAGGGGCTGTGCTGCCGTGTCACCCCAGGGGACAGAGGCCACTGCACAACGGTTTGGGACAGCATCAGAGAAATTTTATTCCAAGGAACTTGAAAAGCTTTTAACTTGAAAATGCAGCACTGAGGAGCCTTGGAGCCCCAACCCTCACCCTTGCTGTGTGAGGGACAGGTCTGGAGCACCGGCTGTGCCAGAACATTCCAGGCCACACCCAGAGCTCGAGGTGAAACAAATCCCATCGCAGAGCAGCACAAGGAGCCCACACGGACACAGAACTCAGGTGGGGCCCAAGGTGAGACTCAATTTGATGCCTTGGGGGTGGTGCTTGAGGCCATCAGAAACATAAAAACCTGAACTTTGCTCTCACAGATTAAAAAGAGAGAGATTTAGAAAATGGTCACTGCCTAAAAACTGAAGCTCAATGTCAGAATTTGCTTGCGCTTGGACCGACGAGTCCGGCAGAGCCTGGAACAGGCGCTCCATGTTTTCCATGGGCTCACTCCTCCGGGTGTCCGGCTGCTGGGCCCTGTGCTTTTGCCTTAGGGGAGGGGGAAAAGAAAAACGCTGTTTTCCAATACGAGTTCATAAGGGAGGGCTGGGAAAAGCAGCTCCTTGTCCCGGCAAAAGCAGCAGGAGCTGCCCCTGCAGCCTCACCTTGGAGCTCCGGCGCCGGAGGCCGCTGCTCCCGCCTGCCAGCCCCAGGCTCCTTCCTCCCGCGGCGCCGGAGCTGCGGGACAGGGACAGGGACACCTTCAGAGGAGGCAAAGCCACCCGTGCTGGATAAACACAGGGCAACACAGCAGGGAGCCTCTGCCTCCTTGTGCCTCCTCTGACCCCGGCCCAGACAGAACCAGCTCCTGTTCAGGGCCCAGGTGTGAGCAGAGCACTCCCATGGACAGGTAACGAGGCCTTATCCTATGTTTTATCCCAGGGACCAGTGGGTCTGTTCTATCTCGAGGTAAAAACCTAAATTTGTTGTTTGAAACTCAGATAAACACCAGCCAAATTCAACTGGGTGAATCTGAAAGCCTTTGAAAACCCTTTCAGCTGCAGGCAAAGCCAAGGGGATCCAGATTTGCACCATAAGAAGTGGAATGGACCAGAAGACAAAGGCGTTACCTTGGCTGGGCTGGAGCAGCTCTGGAGGAGCTGGAAGTGAAGGTTTCTGCCTGGAAGTGCTGAGCAGGTCTTGCCCGGGGTGCTGTCCCAGAGTCACCTCTGTCCTTCGGTGTCCCCTCGCTGCCATTCCCCCTCCCGGGTTTCCCCCGCGCGGCCGGAGCGTCCCCGGCTCTCCCTGGAGGGGACAACGCCGCGTTCCCGGCCTTGGCCACCTCCGTCCTCAGCCTGCTCCCTGCAGCAGGGCACAGCCCCAGCTTCCCAAAGCCTTCTGCGTGCCAAGGAGCCACATCTCCTGCAGGGACAGCACGTGGAGCTTAACAGCAACTTCAGCATCAGGAACAACCCCTGTCCATCCCAGGATCCCCAGGGACACAGTTCCAGTGATTTAATCCTCCCTCCCTAACCCCAGAGCAAGAGCACTGCATGGAAGATTTTTGGGACACAGCAGGGTAGCAGCGTGGCCTCAGTGCAAGCACAGGGGAGCTCAGGCTGTGCTCTGCCCACACCTTGGTGCCGGATCCGCCGCCGAGCCGGCTCCGGCGATTCCCATCCGTCCCCGTGGGGCTGAGGAGCCGGCAGCTCCCGAGCTGGAACGTCACCTGTGGGGCTGGCAGGGCGCAGGTCGCAGTGGTGCTGCAGCAGAACACACAGTGCTGGTCAAGTGAAGCTCACTTGGGTGAAAATTCCTGGGGAAACACTGGAGCAGCAGCGCTTGGGGACATCAAGGCGAGTAGGGAATTGTTATTATGGAATCCCAGCATGGTTTAGGTGGAGAGCAGTCCTAAAGCTCATCCAATTATGTTCCCCTGTCATGTTGGACTGAGCTTGGAGCAACCTGGGCTACTGGAAGGTGTCCCTGGCCATGGCCTGGGGTGGGATGGGCTTCAACATCCCTTCCAACCCAAACCATTCTGGGATTCTGGGATAAGCCCTGAGCTCATTCCCAGAACACTGATTTTGCTGTCCCCCAGGACAGGAGAGGCCCAGAACAGCCAACCCAACGCCAGCTCCAGCAGTTTGTTGGACTAAGAACGTGAATGAACTGTGACACAGAGAATGGGTGAGCTCAGTGCTCTCCCATCTTGTCTGTAACAGCAGCAGACCCCACAGGACTCTTCCCTGGGCACAGCACTCCCAGGGCTTCCCCTCCCACCCAGTTTTACCCTTGTGCTCCTTTCTCTCCTCAGATGACTCATCCAGGGCTCAACTTCATTTTTCTGCATGACTCAAACATTCTGATTGTGCAACTTCAGGCCCTTTTGTTTAGTTTCATGACAAGAGCTTTCAAATTAATCCAGTACTTTTCAGGAGGAGCCTCAGTGTGGCACAACCCTTCACACAGATCCCAGGGCTTTGTGTGGACATTTCCCTGAACTCCTGAAACGTGCCACACGATGGGATGTGGCCCGACAGATCCTGTTCAGTACCTGGTGATGAAAGAGAATCTCCTCTTCCAGTTGGATGCCACAGAATTCACATGGAATCATGAGGTCTCCTTCTGCCTGGACAGCTTGGGGCTGGGATGAAGGGACACTCCTGTGGCTGCTGGACCTCCCAGCTCGCAGACCACCGTACTCCCATGGAATTGGAGAAGAACTTCTCTTACTGAACGAGGCAAAGGCACTTGCTGGGTTACACCCTGTCTGTTACACAAACAACACAGAAAAATCACCTGAAGAGCCAGGTGGGCATTGAAAACCATTTTCCTTGGCAAAGACCCAAATGCCAGATTTCTCCCAATGTCACCCACACCCTTTTCAGTGACAGCCACAGAAAAGCCTTCACTGCAAACCCCAAGACACAGGGAAGTCCCAGACCTGGTGAAGGATCAGATCTTCAGCAGGACACAGCTCCTCGCAGAACTCGCAGGGCAGCATGATCATCTCCTCATCTGCAAGAGAAGGAAGGATTAAGGATTACATCCTCTGTGGAGCCTGGTGAAAACACCTCCTGCTGCATCATTAAACCCTTTGGTGCCATTTCTCCTCTCAGAACAAGCTGCACTCCAGGTTTCCCCCAGATCCTCCTTCCCACCATTTTTACTTCCACGAGCACCTTGTTCCCCCCCTGGGCTCCCACCATACACCAAGGTCAGACCCACTACTTTTAATAAGCTTTTATTTCTTCACTTGCTGCTTTGCTTTAGGAGCCTCAGAATGACTGATTTGGACCTTTTAAAAAACTCACATAATCTTTAACATTCCCAATCTAATTTTTCCTTTTCCCTTCCCCTCAAATTTAATGATAAATCCCACCACAACAGTGTTTATACCTATTTTGCTGTGGTTTGATATGCCAAAGGACTCTGGAGAGTCACAGGAGATGATGCTGGACAGGTCTGTTCCATCACCATGAGCAGACTGACCAGGCTCTTTGGTGTAGTCGTATTCCCAGAAATCCCTGGGATCATCAGCTGCAGTATTATGGTGAGGATTATTCTCACTTTGCAGGCTGAGAGCCAACACATAGTCCAGGTCACCGTCCCAGTCCTCAGGAAGTTGGGAATGAAGGACTTCAGGTCTCTCTAGCTCATCCCCTTCAAAAGAAAAATACTGTAAATTTGGGAGAACATCAAATGGGCCCTCTGGACATCAGATTCAGCCCCAGGGTTCCACATGTGGACTCTCCTGGAGTTCAGAGGTGCCAAGAGCACCTCTACCAGATCCAGGAGGATGGAGAAAAATCATGGCCCAAAATACAGGCAGCAAACAAGTCTAGTTTCATTTTTAAGCCAGGTACTTTGAGAGAAAAAAAAAAGGAAGCAACTGGACTTTTATGCCAGGCACCTCAGCACTCCTGGCTTATACCTCATCCCATGGGTAAACATTCCCAGCCTCTGGAGCATTCACTATCCTGTATTTTCACAGAAAGGAATCACAAAACCTCACACCTGGACCAGCTGCAAAATGAGCAGCCAGTTCTTCTCCCTTTGTCCACTTTTTTCTCACTTGTGATTTCTTCAAAAAAGATTTTGATTTGTGCTGTTCCCTTAAGGTTCTCATCCTTAAGGGTTCTGTCCCTTAAGATTCTGTCTTTAAGGGTTCTGACCCTGGAGCTGTGTCACTTAAGGGTTCTGTCCCTGGGATTTTGTCCTTTAAGGATTCTGTCCCTGGGGTTTTGTCCTTTAAGGGTCTGTACCTGGAGCTGTGTCTCCTAAGGGTTCTGTCTGTGTGGTTCTGTCCCTGGAGCTGAGTCCCAGAGCAGCTCTAAATCTCCTTTCCCCCCACTCTGTCTCTTCCCAAGCCCACCCCCAGTACCTGCTCCCTGCCGGCTCCTCACGCCTCCATCCTCATTCCCGAATCCCGGAGCTGTCCCGCTGCCCTTGTCCACCTTCTCCTCTGTCCCACAGAGCCGGGGATGCTCCTTGAGCTCCCTGACCAGGACGTTGCGGCCGCAGCGCCCGCAGGGCTCGGTCCTGGCCCCGCAGTAGAGCTCGTGCTCCTGGAGCTTGTTGAAGGCCAGCTGGATGTCACAGAACTGGCAGAGCACAGGGCGCAGCGGGCACGAGGACGCCTGGGAAAACACACAGGGTTACTCTTCCCGTGTGGAACACTGAGCTTTCTCAGCTTTGGAGCTCTCTGTTGTGTCCTCAGCCACATCCAAAGGAATAACCTGGAGAAAGCGATAACATGGGAAGGCAGCAGCGATGTGGTGGAGTCAGCAGCTGAAGCTCCTCACTCAGGATGTGATTTTAAATCTGATTTGGGTTTTAGACACAACCCAAAATCCAGCTGCATTCCATGAGCACGGCTGAAATCCACACTGGTTTTTAGGGAACAGACTTACAGCTCATTCACTGCTCAACAAGAGCTGCTTGGACACGCTCTGTACCCTGCTCTGAACAACAGGTGAGGTGCCCTTCAAAAGGGGTTAAAAATAGATAAAATATGTGATATTTGCAGATGCTGCGATAATAAACAACCTGCACTAATAAAACATCACCGTTTGCTTTACAATCCAAAAGCACCACACACACACAGACAGGATTAGCTGCTCCCAGGGTTTAGAACTGGACAGATTTCCAAAGAAAATCCTTTTTCCCTCAGCAATCAGCAGGCTGAGGTGGCAGTTCCAGAGCTGTCTCTAAAGGAGCCCACAGGGAGGGAAGGGATGACATTTATAACAAGATTGTCTGTGACAGCAGCCAACAGGATTCAGAACTCAGAAAATCCCACTCTGGCCTATTTTAGTTTATTTTACAGGCTATTTTTAAAGTCTGTTTGGACAGATTGAGTTATTAAAAGTCACATAGTGGCTCCAGCAGAAACATGAAACAGTAAAGGAATGCAAAAAAGTCAAGTCAATCATATTTTAGATAGCTATTTTACAACTGACAAGGACAAAAAAAAAATAAAAATATCACCAATTTTCACAGATACCCCTTTGATAAGAAGCCCTGAGTGGCTCCAGGACTTTAAGGCAGTTTCCAATCCCTTCTCCCAGAGGGTGTGAGTTCAGGAAGCATCACTCAACAAAAGGATGCACAAGCCCCAGGCTGGAATCCAGGTGTTGCCTGACAGAAAAGCTCTGGAATCAGTGAAACACCACAGCATCCCCCAAGGGTTCAATACTATAAAATCCACCAACCTCGTGATCCTTCAGGAGGCTGTTTTCCATCTTCATCCTACACTTGCAGGTGACCTGCAGCACACAGAGCTCGTTAGATTAATCACCACAGAAATGAGCAGTTTCAGAGCAGAGATGTCTCTCACCTGCACGTGCTCAGACTCAATGTGGTTCTTCATCTCAGACTTTGGGATGGAGTCGCTGCAGTAGGGGCATATTTCAATGTTTCTTCTACAGTGGATTTCGTGGATGATAAAATTGACTGCAGGAATATCCTTTTTGCTGTGAGAAAGTCGCTGAGGTTACCGAGCAGAAACTGACACCAACAACAAATCCAAGCAGTTGTTCACAACAAAAAAATAATGCTAAGAAAGATTTCAGTGAATTCATGGTTTAAAGAGAGCCCAGCCAGGCCTCAAGGTTCCAGCACAGGTGGATATTAATGTATTTAACATGCAAAAGTCACATTGCATTAAGATAATATCCAGATGGATTTATTTCCTTACGTGAAAAGCAAATCTTGCAGAACAAACAAGTTACTGCCAGGTTTCAAGTTAATAAATTAGTCTGAGAAGATAAAAGTTTCCCCCTGAAAATAACTTGGCTCTGAGAGGTCAAACAAACAGTGCTTTGGAAAGCAGTCAACCCCATATTTTTTATATCTGACAGATCCTGTTCCAGGATAATGGAACCATGGAATGGTTTGGGTGAGAAGGGACCTTAAAGCTCACAGGGGCACCTTCCACAGCAGTAACAACACTGCTCCAACTCACCTCATTTCTAAGATGCTCATTTTCTGTCTTGAAACCAAACACAATAGGAACTGAGACATCCTTACTCCTGCCTCAAACAGGCAGCATCATTTCTACATGGATCATGCCCTTTCCAAGAAATCCACCTTGAAAACACCTACATTAATTTATAACCTTTTATTTGCTAAAACCCACAGCTGTTCAGCTCTCCCCTGCCAGATCACAGCCAGCCAAAAGCCTGGCAAAGCAACAAAGCCCAACAACAGAGACTGAACTGTGCAGACCAAACAAAGCAGGCTGATGTTGCAAGAAACTGTCTGGATTCTGATGTCTCTTGGGGAAAAACAACTACAAAAAAAAAGTTAATTTTAGCTGCTTGTATTCGAGAGAAAACTTGTGACTCCTTACCAGCCACTGGATTACCAACGCTGGGGCTCTCCAGAGAGGTGTAATCAAAGAGAAAAACTTCCGCAACAACACTGCCACTGCCTACCGCTCCTATTTTTATATTTCTGCTCCTGAGCCACGGAACTGCTGAAGAAAAACTTGGAATCGTGTACTTTGTGCGGATCTCACTGAAAACCGAGCCTGGCTTTTGATCCGATTTCGGTTTCTGTTTAGTCCCCTACTAAGAAGGGAAATCTGACGCACAAACGCTTACAGAAAGGCCGTCCGGTCGTCTCCGGTATTTCACAGCATCCCAAGGAACTGTGTCCCGGTGTACCGGCGGGGTGGGCTCGGACACACCGAGTCCAGCCCTCAGCGACCCGGCCCTCAGCGACCCCGGCCCTCAGCGACCCCTGGCCCCGGCCTGGCCCTCACCGGCCCCGGCCCGGCCTTACCAGTTGC